TAAAGAAATATGGGATGTTGTGAAAGAAACCTACTCTCAGCCCCTTAATGTTGCTAAGGCTTATGAGCTGAAATGTGAGATTAAAAATCTTAAGCAAGGTGAGAAGCAAGTTTCTGTTTATTTTTCAATCTTGAAATCCCTGTGGCATGAAATTGACCACCTTGAATCAATTGAATGGGAAAGTCAGAAGGATGCATAGATTTACAGAAAGTAGATTGAAACTAATAGAGTATTTAAGTTCCTGGCTGGTCTAAATTCGGAATATGATATTGTGAGGCAGCAACTGTTGACAAGAGACAGTGTAACTCTGTCCCAGGCCTATTCCTTAGTGCACAACGAAGAGACTAGGAGAAAAGTTATACTATAGCAATAGCCTTTCGAATCAGCTCTAGCAGCAGTTAAGCCCAAATCTGGGAGTGATAAGGAAAGAGACATGAAGAAGGAAGCTAAGAAGGACTTAGTATGTGAGCATTGCAAGAAACCTAAACATACTAAAGGGACCTATTGGAAGTTACATCCACATCTAGTTCCAGCAAAACTCAGAAACAAAAAGGGGAATGCAAATATGGMTGTTAACACTGATAGTACAACCTCATCTAGCACAAGAGGCAATCCTCTAGATACTCTAGCTGCTATCCAAGCTGCTCTAGTTCAGCTGGAAAATGAAGTTGGTAATTCAACTCCACCTCTTTAGACTCCATTAGCACCCCCTACCTCAGCTTTTACTCATACAGGTAATCGGGCCTTAGCTCATCATGCCTCAGTTACAGGTAATATAGAACATTCATGGATAATAGATTCTAGAACATCTGACCATATGACTGGCTTGCCGTCACTATTTACTATTGATCACTTATCTTTAGGCAAAGACAAAGTGTCCATTGCTGATGGCTCCCTCATTCCTATTTCTGGCAAGGGAGACATCAAGTTGTCTAATGCTATTTTTTTATCTTCGGTTTTGCATGTTCCTAAGCTTAGTACTAACTTGCTTTCAGTTAAGTTAGTAGCATTACAAAAAACCAAAATTGTTCAATAACCTTTTTTTCTAGACCGATGTGTTTTTCAGGATCTGGAGACAAGGAAGGTGATTGGGACTGGCCATGAGGCAGTTGGAGCCTATCTACATGGAGGGAGTCCTCATTGGGAAGATAGTGAGACTAAGAGGTCTTGTGTTTCGCAGTCTATTGATCAAGCTATGCTTTGTCATAATAGGATGGGTCATTTATTTTTTTGGGCTTTGAAGAGTTTGTTTCCTAGTTTATTTGAATCTATCTAGATGTCTAGTTTGAAATGTGAGAGTTGTGAACTTGCAAAACACTACAGGACAATCTTTTCATTAAGTAATAATAAAAGTAATATTCCCTTTAAAATTGTGCATACTAATGTTTGGAGACCTTACCATACCCCTGGGGGTACAGATATTTCCTACTGTTTGTTGATGATTATACTCATTTTTCATGGATGTATCTCATGCATTCTTGAGATGAGGTTCCAGCATTAACCCAGATCTTTCATCAAATGATTTTAACCCAATTTAGGGTCAAAATCAAAATTTTTAGATCTGATAATGTGAAGGAATATTTTGCAAACCCATTAGCCTCCTATTTGCTTGAACATGGGATTATCCATCAGATTACCTGTCCTTATACACCACAGCAAAATGGGGCTGCT